GGGGGGGTTGCCTTTAGTGTATATGCGATAGAAGTCAAACCTTGTTACTATATATGAAAACGTGGGCTTTTTGCATGGATGATTAGAGTTATGTGTCAGCTATTTTCAAGACTACGAGAGTTTCAGCTTTACTGCAACCTGCGCTCCCTCGGTCTATTTAACTCCGATTCGAGTAATGCTGTCTTTCAGTTTTCCCTCTATTTAGAGGCCTAAACGTGAACTTATTCCTGCAAAAATCTTCTCTTGTATACTTGCCTCATAAAAGGGAACCAGGACCCCCCTTTCCCCAGTACCCCTTATGACTGATTTGCCGTTGATCCCGATTTTTTTCACCAGATTCTGATTTTTTTACTCTAAAATCCTGATTTTTAGATTTCATAGAGTGGTATGTCTGTACCAATGACTCTACATGCCCAAAAATTGACGAGAGCCTGATTCCACAACACTGCCTCACACATAATGCTGCATTTTGAACCATTAATCCCAAATCAAAACAAGTACTCCATCAGTAGCAGGCTAATTTGCATACGAGTCATGATGCGGAAGAATCAGGCTTATCAATTTTGGACATGCGAAGTTATTGCTACCATCTAAAAGCTTATTCATTTGCCTTCTTTTCAAGAAAAAAAAAATACCCATCTGTCTTGAACGGAGGTTGAGATATTTATGATTGAAAGAGGTGGGGTCGCCTGGTTTCATTGGTAAAACTAGAGAGAAAATGACCGCTTAAGTTCTGAAAGCTCAATAGCTTGAGATTCCTTAAAAAATGACAAATTACACATTTTGTGCCTTTAATCAACGTTTTTCAGTCGCTGTTTTTATATGGACATAAAAGGTGTTGAGTCAAAAAACAAAAATTTGATAAAAATTGCCGAACTGTCGGAAAAATGCCTGCTCCTTCATTTTTATTTTTTGACGAGCGCCTGATTTCACCACGATACTTCGCATATAATTTCATGGTTTGTAAAGTGGATAAAGTGTTAGGCTACATCACAGACAGAGAAACCACCAGACAGTCATGTTGGTTGTTCAACTACTGTTTATTTTGATCTAACTTCCTGTTCCTATCCAGTATCAAGGGACATAGTTCAAACTACTCAATGCACTTCCAGATTCAATTAGTCAATGCATGGCTAGTTCCATTTAATCTAAGTCACTAATAATATTCTTGTTAGTAATGTCACTATATTGCAATTTGCGTGACTTTGCCCGTTGTTTTATGTGTCAGGCAAAGAAATCAGACTGGAAAAGTCTGTATGATAAATGACGTTCAGATCCTATTTGAAAGCCCCTGTATGATAAATGACGTTCAGATGCTATTTGAAAGCCCCCACCCCCCTACCTCCGTAAAAAAAACTACCCAGAAAGCCAAAGCAAGGTTTTGTTCAGATGTTGTTGGGTGACCAGAATGATGTGTCATCCATGATTTAAGGAGTTTAGTTCCTCCTATGTCGGTGGTTGGCGGATGTTCTGGTTTTGTTTAATCCTTCTTTCCTGCCGAACATCCATCATCCTTATCTCTTCTCCTTTTTTTCCTTAAATAAATGTTACTCTCTTGTAACACCTCTAATCTTTGGCACTTGCCAAACCTAGTAGTGTTGTAGGTGCCATAAAACACATACTAAAAAGATACTAAAATCTATTTTTTAAAACATCTAAAATGTCTCCCTTACAGGTATTTTGACGCCCCTGTGGCCCAGCAAGACGTGCCTCAAGCCTACCAGGACCTCGAGTTCCACGACCCCAACAACGTCTACGCCAACAGCGGGCCCGCCCCCACCCCCCTCGTAGCGAGCGAGGGAAATCTGTACGCCAACACCCCGCCCGCAGACGAGGTCTACATGAACCACGGCGGAGGAGACAGCGCCATGACGCCTCCGGACAACTGGGAGGAGTACACCAACGCCGCTACTGCTGCTGCTGCTTTTGCTGCTGCTGCTGACAACGATGCTGGTACTGGCAACACTGCTGCTGCTGCTGCTGCTGCTACTGCTGCTGTTGATGTAGCAGACGACAATGATGTGGGAGGGGAAGAAATTTACATGAATGAAGAAATGCAAGACAGTGGGGTTTATCAGAACTTCAACATGATTAAGAAACAGTAGTTTTGTCTGTCGTGATTTTCTCGTCATTTCTCCATTGTGGAGTCGGTGGAGTCTTCCTCTTTGTTTGCTGCATTAGATTCTTTGACAGTTCAAACCACTTCTTGTACTGGTACCGAATTGCTTTAACTAGGATTTCGGATGTCTGTGAAGAAGCAGTTATTAGCCTTATTGCCTTTAATTACACACACACGGCAAGAGTTCCATTCACAAGTGGAGAAACTGTTTTCAAATTTAAAAGAAATTTCTCCTCCATCTGTCTACACAGATGTTGTCGCTCACTGAGCCTGGGTCGGCCCTGGCTGGTTAGGTTGATACAGTTAGCCTCTTAAATTATCGAAATTGTCTCAATAGGGACGTAAAACATTATTAGCCCAAATTACAGGTAACAGTAGCATCAAACTGCACTAGAAGTAGGATTCATTTTAGCATTTAAGGCAAGGGCAAACTATGGTCCATGGGCCAGATCCAGCCAACAAGCAAATTTCAGTCCGGCCTGCCAGATGACTCAGTAACTGATAAGCTAATGAATGTGGTCCAAGTTGAGTTGAAAGCTTGATTAATAAAAAAAACCCCAAAAAACCCAATTTATTTTCTTGGAAAATTAAAATGAATAGTTTCCGGCCCGACTGGAAGTGATATATCGAATATTCTACCACTTGAAATGACTTTGACTGTACGCAATATTATGTGCTATAGTGTCAGTTTTGTGTCACTTTTAAAAGCTTGAGTATTTTATCTGATTTCACCAGTTGTCTCCTGCTGTGATTGGCCCCAAATTTGGAATGGCTAACTGTGGTCTATGACTTGTACTGGCTTTCCCATGCCAGCAGTATATGGAAACACACATAGCCATGTGTGTAGCTCTTGTACATACTCCAAGGCTCAAGTATTGGTGAAGATGGTGTGTTGTGTGTTACATAAAAGTGTGTAGTGTGTTATCTCCATGACACAGAACACATTTGTTGAGTCATCTCTGCTTGGGCCGCACAGTTCATTATACTTTTTTAAAATTAATAAATTACGCTTCATTGATACCTGTGGGAAAATCTGGATTACTATAGTAGGCCCTAAATATACATAATATACGTAATCATAAATACTGACGTACATAAAAACATACATAAATACACAGTATTACATCAATACAGAACAATTTCACAAACATGCCATTACTGGTCGCCTCTGTGCAGTGCCCTGTTTGTTGAGCTAGAGTTGTCTTGTCTTGCTCAAGGACACTCCCTAGTAATCTCCCAACTAAATCCCCAGACCTGCCACTCATCCCGATTTAATCGGGATATCCCGATTTTTTGCCCCAAATCTCAAGCATCCTGATTTTCCCGATCTCGATCGCCAGTATCCTGATTTTTTGTCCGTGCGTCTGTTGCGACCGATTCTTAGAAAAAAAATATAAAAAGTTCGGCAACCTCTTTTGGTTGGAAGCAGTAGTTGGATTTTTTATCGGCAGGAACTTGGAACGCTACTTTCTGAGGCATCTATGCCGTATCTAGTAGTTGACTCACGCACGTTATTTCAACTAAAATCGACTGTTGTTCTGCCGTTGCCATAACTTAAGCAAGCTTCGTCTGAGTTCTGGTTAGCCGGGCACATCATCAAGACCTGTCACTGTCAGTGGAGCTTTCAAACGCTCATTCGCATCACGTGACCTGACCTCGTACGTGTGAGTAGCGCGTGTGTCGGGGACCGTCGGCTGTCGGGGTCAACAAAGTTCATTCACACCGGTGGCATTGGTCGAGGTGTTTTTCGTGACTTAACCAGTGTGGACGACTGGGGGGAGGGGGTGGGGGTATTGTTTTGACACTTGGGCTTAAAGTGCGTGCCATGATACAGATACTAATTGAGGATAAAGCAATAATTTTTGAAAAAGAAATAAATGAAAAACCTTGGCGCGATCTTTTTTTTCGGG